AAAATTTTTGCATGCTGCGGTGAAAAAGGAAGAAATCCGACTTTAGGGTCGATTTATAAGTACTGTACTTCCAAAATAAGTACGAATGACCAAAAAAATCCGTTTGCCGTTTAGCTAACGGTTTTGCGCACCCCTACATAAATATGAGAATCGCGGAAGGTTGAAAACCTTGAATACTGTAGATACTCGACTTCTTGAATACTGTAGATACTCGACTTTCTTGCGATTTTTAGACATTATTGGCGGATAACCTATTATTATGTTTTGAATTAGCAAAAAGTCAAAACACATTTTCAAAGTGCAATATTTGGAAATTTTTATAAAAGGGTAGTCGTATGTCTAAGTGCAAAATATAGCGAGAGAAATTAACAGGAAAGCGCGCTTATTTTTAAAGCGTGTATTTTGCTAGCTTTTTATTTATTTTAGATAATCAATTTTAATATTTTATTTATTTAAAATCTAATACAGTCAGCCCTTATTATAAGATAAACTCTTGGGGTTTTAATATAACAAGGTGTAGTTTAAATAAAGGATGTCTCCTACTCAATCCCAAAATGATGTTTATTGAGTGTATATTATAGGGAGGCTCTATAGTAATAAAACATCCCTGTAATTGATACGCCACAAGTTACCACAAGGTGTAGGAACTTTAATTGATAGAAGGAGCGATACAGTGTTTTATCCTATCTTATAGCTAAATATGTTACTTAATACAATTTTCAATTTTTCAGCCACCAATTTGTATGTTATATTAAGGTCCGAGATTATAAAACACGTCTGTTAGACCATATTTTAGGTTACTTATTTAAATTTAAATGCCCACTGATGGTAATATATGAATAACTTATTACTAGATAATTTTTTCAGCACAAGTAATTTAAATAAAAATGAATATTATTTATATATTTTTTATTTTATTTTTAATTTATTTGGATAATTTTAACATTTTGGCAAACGATGAAAACATCAACGTAAAAATTAATCCAGATTGGTTAGAAAAAAGAGAATATAATTATTTAAAAAATAAAAAGCCAGAAGAACGTTTTTATTTTAAAAATTTAATTGAAAAATATTTAAAAACGGAATATAATATAAATTATTATTCTGTATTTAGAAAAGATTTTAAATATTCACCAGAAATAGAAATTACTAAAAATAACATTGTGGATGAATTAATTAGTCCAATACTAAAGCAAGTAATAAGTATACTCGAATATTGCTTTAATTTTTAAACAAATATGTTTATAAAAATCTAACTTTTGGGTTTTATTGCCTAATAAACAGGCTATTCAAAGGATTTCCCAGTATTCACCAACTTTATGCAAGCCAACGAATTTAAAATTCTAAAGATCAGAAAATAGAAACAAAAGTCAAATTTTCCATTTTTCCCTCCTTCAAATTCACAATATCCGCCCAACTCTTCTGATTCCTCCTTAATCCTACAAATCCGCTGATATCCCCCGATTTAATGTATAAGAAGACCATTTTTTGAACATTTTGCATCCATTTAGAAAACTCTAGAGAGTGAAGTTAGAAATTACTGTAATTTTAAAAAACAATTTAAGATAATTGAAAGAAAGTTAACTAAATCAGCACCTGAAATCAGTGCTTTAGAAGATAAATGGCATATAAATTACATAAAAAGAGTATCACTAAATGAAAAAATAAAAATTTACAAAGAAGAATTGGGAAAAAATTATTGGACTTTAATTAATTTAAATGCATATAAAATTGAATTATTGGAAAGTTATATTAAAATAAAGGATAATGAAGACGAAAAAATGGAAATTAAAAAACAAATTGAAAATTTAAAGGAAAAAATAAAATTGGAAGGTAATTTTAGTTCTAAATTTGGGAATAGAGTCAATAACGTACATATTTTTTTGGATTTTATGTCTAAGAAGCCAAAAAAATACGACGAATATTTTTTTCTAATTCCAAAAAATTTTTTTCAAAAATAATGATCGTCATTAAAAGTCTAACTCGTCTGAACAGGGATGTCATATACCCATTCAATATCCTCTTAATTCATACAATTCCTCGATAACTCCTGAAATCATTCAATCCTTCGATATCCTTCATTACCTAGTTTTTAACTCCCCAGTATAAGATTTTTTGATTTACAGAGTTTTTAGGAAACCAGAATCCTCCTTTTCAGCAATAATAAATTCCAAGATCGAGAATCTAGTAATATTTTTGTCCAAGGGACTGTTGTTGATGATGCCTGGATTATACCCTTTAATGATAAACTTATTACACAAAAATTTAATTTAGATCCATATATTTTAAATAAACTTTTTGAAAGGTGGAGAGCTAATTGAATTGACAAAATATGTTTGTTTTTAATTATTATAAATATTTTTTAAATGGAAAGATAATTTTAGGAAATTAAATTACAAAAATTTGTTTATGGTCTCCCATATACTAACGATGATATTACTGAATTATCTAAAGCATTTGAACTAAATGAAACGAAACTAATTGTATGTTTTTGCTAAAAATTAATTTAATAAATCTAAAAAATTTCAGTTAATGATCAAAGTATGTATATTTAATATGTTTTTACTGGTATTTAGCTAGAAGCACTAGAAACAATTTTTTAATTTACCCCTAAATAGTAACTATTTTTATGATTTTTATAAGACTAAAAAAGTGGGGTCTCGATTCCCAATTATAATTCCCAATAATGATGCATTCTTGACGCCGGGCAAATATAGTCCCTTATGGTGTCATATTATTGAGGTAACTCTTTATTATATTTTATTTAAATAAAAGAACAAGAAAAGCGCGAACAAAAGAAATGGCATAAAATTGAAAACAATTAAAACAAATTTTAATAAAATAGAGAATAAAAGCTTCACAAGAAATTCAGGTAATATTTTTCTACTTTTTTTAACACTGCGGGTAACTAAATTCCTTATTTCGATAAAATTAAATTTCTTACCCAGCATTTTTCTTTGACAAAGGGTAAAATGGTTGGGCATAAAACTTATTACGAAACCTTTTCGGGCCAAATATTTTAGGCCCGACTCGATCCTTCGGTACAAGTCTGTCAATTTTGGCAACCCTAATAGGTATTTAAAGTGGTTAGAAAAAGTAACACTAGCAAAAAATTAAACTTTTCGGAGTAATTTAAAATTTTCCCGAAAACTCTCGAAGTCAGAATATATTATTCTGTCGACTATTTTCAGTAAAAATGTTTGATGTTTATTTAAATGGAAAACCAGTAATTTTGTCTAAAGTAGAATTAAAACGGATGACGCAATATAAAAAGGAAAAGATATATTTTACTAAACATCGAATCGAAAAATATTATCTTAATTTCAACGCAAACGAATTTTATTTTGATAAGAACGTGATTAAATTTAGAAAAATAATTTTAAGAAATAATAATGGAAAGAAGTTTGTAATTATTGAAATTAATTATTTGGAAGATATTAAATTATGTAAATTAACACATAAAATTGAGATTGAGGAAGAAGAGTTTATTAAAATGATTGAAGAAGATAATCATTATGAAATTAAATTGGAAGAAGTTGAAGTGGAGTGATTGAGAATTATTTAATTATTGAATCGTTAAATCCATTTATTAGAGATATCTAAGACAAAATTTTTCAAGACCCAAGACGAAGACTTGACTCCAATACCAAAATATTTATTATAAGATTCAAGAAAATTTTTTGGTCCCACGGGTCAAATTCTTAGTTTATTTTTTGTACCTAAGTCAATAGGACCTATAATTTAAACTACCTATTTATAAGAATTTTGATAAAACTTTAAAGAATACTGGCTTTCGATTTTTAGTACCGCCGGATTTAGTACCGCACTTGTATAATCCAATGTGTTCTATTATCTGGGAGTGCACATCATATTAGTTATTCGTTAAAAGGTGTGTATCTAAATTTTCAGAAAATTTGGATCATTGGAAGTAAAAAATTGCGAAAATACAAGTCAGCGCCGCAGGCGTAAATTTTGAGAATTTCGGAAGACCAAAAGACGGATTTTTCCTTTTTCAACAGAAATTTTCGGATATAAATTATTTTGTAAAATTAAAAAAAATATTTTATAACATCACAAATACCGAAATACCGAAAAATACCGCGGTATTTTTTCGAGGACCGTACGGTTTCGGTATACCGAAAAAATACCGATACCGAAAAATACCGTTTTTTTCAAAATTTGACCGGTAAATTTCGGTATACCACCGCGGTATACCGGAAAAAATACCGCGGTATACCGTACCGTGCCGAACCCTAAAAAAATCCCGTCTTTTTACATACAGTATTATTAGCTCAAAAATAATTAGAATAAGACAACTTTAATCAAATTTCATTTATTTAAAAAATCATAGTTCTATAATTTTTGACAATAAAATATTATTAGTAATTAGTATATATAAATTATGCTTTTTAAAAATAATTTTTTCAAAATTAATTGCTCGTGTATTTTTTTATTTATTTTCCGTTAATTTCTTCACAATTTTTCATTATAGTTTTGCCATTTTCATGTTTTTTTCTATAAGCATCCATCCGTTTGCGATGGTGACCGAGCATTCCAAAGGGAACATAAATTTTTTTAAAAAGCCAAAAACCTAACAAGTTGCCAAATGCTATCTAAAAATAGATTTTTAAAATTTTAATAGAGAAGAAATTTTTAAAAATCTCCGAAAATTTAAGCTGATTTACAATTTCTGAGGCCCCATTTGAGTAATTTTCGATTTCAGAAGTTGAGCCTCGGCTTCTAAAAAAATCGCTTGGCACAATATAGACTGGACGGGCATTTGTCCGAGTAATTTTTGCGGTACGATAAGAATCCAGAAGTCAAGACGAAAATTTAATGTCTTATAAGGCAAAATAAAAGGAAAATTCTTCGTTTTCTGAGAAAATACCGAAATTTTTGATGTTAACCTGGCTAGAGTTCTCAGATAAGTATAATAGAAGATAGGACTTGACCTAAGGGCCGAAAAGCGCCACGACTTAGGTGAAAGCCAGGGCGATTTATTATAATCCAACTATCTTAGAGGTAATGCTCTGAAAACTTTTCCATAACAAAATTACAAGTCAAAATCTAGATTACCACTCTCTTAATTAATAAAAACACCTGTAAATCATGTTGAAAGCAGCCTGTACTAAGCCTGCATTTTCCTATAATATTAACTGCTTGTTTTGCAAAAACATTAGTATCAACAACGAAAAGTTCAGTATCTCCAGGTTCATAAGAAGCTAATTTTGTTGAAACTAATGAAGGGATTAAACATTGAATTTTGATATTTGTGTGTTTAAATTCATCAGCCAATGCATCAGAAAAGAAACTAATTGCTGCTTTACTTGAAAAAAATTTTTCAAACGATGAAATGTGGTTTAGTTTAATTCTAAGTAAATAATGTCCTTGTAGGCTAACCACTCGATGTACTTGGTTTTTCGTTCTAAAATGGACATAGGGACAATCTAACCTATAATAGGTTGTCATTTTCGAGTCGGGCCGAAGGTCGAGGCATAACGAGTCGGGCCTGTACAGGTCTGTTTAGGGCCTAATATCTTAGGCCCAACTCGATCTTTCGGTCCAAAGGAGTCCATTTTGGCAACCTATTTCTCAATAAAGGATTAATCCAAGCTAACTAAATGTTTAACTCTAATAATACGAGGAGTATATGAAAAAAACCCTTTATAAAATAATTATCTAAACTATTAGGTGCGGACATAATTAGTGGCCGTTTTTTTAGATTGAATTTTTAGGGGTGTTATTTTACAAATTTTCTTTTTCATTTTTAATCAACATAAAGATCAGAGTCTACTCTTTATTTTAATACCAGGTTTAGCCATATACGGGTTATATTCCTAAAGTTATGAATTTTTGAACTTCACAACCTCGTAGTGAAATTCACAAGCATTTACACCAAAAATTTTAATTTACCAAAAATGCAACACAAGAATCAAAAAATCATAATGAACTAGTCAATGGGATCGTTGTCTATGCTGGACAACAAAAAATAGGGTTCAGGCTTTACAATGGAGACCGTATGACTCTCAGAAGCAAACATGATCGAGGGAGACGGGTGTCATTAAGAAAACGGTCCTGCTCGGCCGGTTTAGAAGGAATCCCGTTATTTCTGCAGTTTAATTATCGAGGGACATCTGCTCTATAAGTATGACGACGCGTGACTCAAAAAACGCGGGCTGCGCTTAAGGAAGGCAAATCAAATGCCGCGTGTACTCACTTTTGCACAGATGGGAAAACGACACGACACTCCCCCAAAAAGTTGTTTCTTATAACTCAGCGTAAAATCATCCGATCAGGATGATCTAAACTGTTTTTTATATAACTTTCAGGGCTTATTCTAAATCCGAAGTATAAAGTCTGTAAATTGTGTCGAACCCGGAATTCGAATTTCGACCTTTTTGAAAAATTTAGACTTTTGGGATTAAAAATTCGAATTTGTGCCCTCTTGATAGAGCTTTTGAAGAGCTTTCGAATGACATATTACACTTAATATTATCATCAAAGATACACGAGAAAATTTGATTTTCGATGGTTTCGAAAATTTTGACTTTTTCGATCAGAACTCCATGAATACCTAACCAAAAATTCTGAAATGCTGGGATCCTTTAGAAAATAAACTAACAAATGATTTGTAATAAAAATAAAAAATATTTTCTATAAACTTAATACTAAAAATCCAATTTAAAAAACGGCCACTAATTATGTCCGCACCTAATACCTTGCCGGATAAGTTGAAAGGTATGGAAATGGTCTCCATCCCTGTATTTATTGGTTTAAGGCAAATTAATATATAAATTTAATATTTTAACCATTATAGAAGATATATTAACTATAATCCCACAATCACGTTCAACCATCCCAGGCAAAATTAATTCAATCATTTTAACAATGGAGAGCAGATTAACTTTCAAAATTTTCGAGGATAAACCCTCGGGCTGATCTACTACAGTATCTACCTGTTCTGGTGCAATACCAACACTATTAACTTTTAAAAATAGTTTTAGATAAAGTAAATAGAATAGTCGGACCTCACTTTAAAATATACCCAATACTAGACAATCCAATTTAAAAACGTTTTTTTAATATGCTACTGGGTGACAGGGATGTCTCGAGCTAGCCGAAGCCACCCTAATTCTTCTTCCAACCCAGATCCGACTTATTTCTCAAACCGTATCATTCCTGTAGGGTGAAGGGTCTGCCAAAGTGATACGACCAATTCAAGATTTCCTAATAAGATGGACATTTCTATCCTTATAGATCAGGGCTGGGCGTAATGAAAAAATAAAAAGCGAAATGCGAAATACGAAACTTTTCGCGCCAAAAAATGTGAGAATGCGAAAGATGCGAAACGCGAAAGTGCGAAATAAGCCCAGCCCTGTTATAGATGTATCTTAAAGTGAGTTCCGCCTCAATTATTAACCAAGAATTCCAACATTCATTGTTTTCAACTCTGCGGGCAAATCCTCCAACGGATCCTTTTCGAAATCAAAAACGGCTGTTCGAACTTGACAACCATATTCTCCCTCTACATACATAAATCATTTTTATCTTTAAAGAAATTTTACTAAAGTTTTACCAAAATGTTTGGCTAAAGCAGCTAGTTTTGTTTTATTTCTCCCAATTAAATAAAGATTTTTAATATTTCTAGTAGAAACAAGCTTTTCCAAGTATGCGCGCCCTATGCCATCTGTGCATCCAGTAAATACTAAATAATTTTTGTAAAATTTGAGAGATTATATAAACGAACTCTCGCTCTGATTCCAAGTAAAACTTCAAATTTCTTTCCCAAATTTAAAATATTTACAAGTTTTTTCCCTTGGGAAATTTTTACAATAATTTATAGGGGTGGGTCACCAAAGGAAGGTGATTAAGGTGATTAATTAAGGTGATCACAAATTCGAAGTGTGCGAAATTAAACAATATGGTAATCCCCACATAATGTGCCTTTCTATGTTAATGGTATGATAATTAAATACTATAGGTACTGTGATAACCGGCCGAAGAACCAATGATTTATCGGTTCAGTTCGTCAGTTCAGATCCAAATATTTGAATATTTTCCATTACAGAGAGCCCTACTTAGGTATATTTCATAATAGAATTCGTCTACCTGTCCATGCCTGCCTGTAATGGTCCAAATTTAAAGGTCTTGCAATAAAATGTCCCCAAACACTTTGACAAAGTATATACAAAAATTTAATGAACCGAAATGTTAGGAAAGCTTTAAAAATATAGAGAGCTGCATGAAAAGGACAAAATCCTAATGTTTGGAAAATATCCTTAAACATTTTTAATTTATTTCCTAAATTTTAAGGAAATCAGTAAAATATAGACACAAACAAAATAATTTTTAAGGTCAAGTAAACGATTAGAAAAGTGACGAAATGCGCAGCCAAAAATTGTTGTGACTGTTCATTTGCTCGTCAAATCCCCCTTCCTTCCCCCCCCCCCCTCCCCTCCCAAAACTACCCATCCTCTCCAATTTTTTATTCTTTCTCGCTCTTTTTCCAATAATTTTGTATATATGTAGATTCGTTATAAAATTGCTCGCAATTCATCAAAAATAAAAACAATTTATTTAGTTTGTTATAAAACCCTTTCAGGGATACTTTTAGGATTAAATAGAGAAAAATATTTAGAAAATTTTTTGAAAATCAAACGACAAAATTTTTATAGAATGTCTGAAACGTTTAATTTATTACGACAATTCCGGACAATTACATATTCCAGGGGCCTATTCCACCAAACGACATTGACATCAAATGTCGATGTCCAAGTGTCAATCGCGATTGCGACATTGACATAGGATTGTGTTCCACAAAACGACAACTAAATTTGTGACATTTCGAATGCCATTGACACCAATTGTCGACATTGACATACGATTGTGTTCCACTAAAGAAATCGGTCTATGTCATTGTCGAAATGTCGATGTCATCATTAAACTATTTGTTATTGTTTAAATTTTATTCTTTATCTATTTTTTAGTTTATTTCTTACATTTTTTTCTTAAATTTTGTCTTTCCTTTATCCAGTGGGCAAAATTTGGAGTGATTAAGGTAATGTTGGTGGATTTAGTGTGATTAAGAAAATTTTAAAATATCAAATTGAAGTTTCAATTCAAATTTTACCACAAACAAAAGGAAAGCTAGCAATTTAAAAAAATCTCTTGCAATAGCTAAACAAGCATCTACATTTTTCGGCCAATCAATTGAACCCTGAAATTCCTCATTAAGCACTGACGTAACTTCTCGAATTGAACGACAAACAGTTCCCTTACCTATCCCTAAATAAAAAGATTTTTGAATAAAACTTTAATCGGAGGTCATTAGTTTATAAAAAATTTTATTTGTAATTTTTAGTCTGAATTTTGATTTTTTAAAACCCAATTTTCCATTAACGACACAGCCCTAACGCTGTGTCGCCAAAAATCGACATTTCGATTGCTAGTGTCGATTGACACTCAAATTTAAAATCTTCATGGAAAACAATCGCGACATTTCGCTGTCAATGTCGCTGAAAGTAGATGTCAATGTCGATGTCACAAAATAAATTTAATGTCGCTTCGTGGAACACAATCGCAATCGGAATGTTAAGCGATTGACAAATGTCGCGACATTTGATGTCAATGTCGTTTGGTGGAATAGGCCTCAGATTTAATAAGTGTTCAAATCAAATCAAATTTATACGCAACAGCGCGACGATTTCAGACAATAAAAATGTGATAAATAAATAAAATAAACGTAAACAAACGATTTCCTTAACATAATTTAAAAATTGCAAAAGTGTCTTTTAAGGTGATTTGGGAGTGAGTCAATAAATTGGGATATATCAAAAGTGACTAGGAGTCGACTAAAGTGTTCGGGAGTTGAAAATCCAAATCAGGTATTATTTTGATTGATATATTTTTGATTAATAAAGTGACACTCTTTTTTGTATTTCTCAGTTCCAATGATTACCGAATCATTTCAAGTTTAATGCAATGTTGGAAATTAAAAAATAATAAAACGATTTTTAATAGTAATGGTATAACTAGGATTAAGATCAGTGCTGGGTATGGCTACGGGAGCTAGCTCCGGAGCCCGGCTCCGGAGCCGGCTCCGGCGGAGCCGGAGCCGGAGCTAAGATTTTGAAAACCCCGGAGCCGTAGCTGGAGCCGGAGCCAAGAATTTCAAACCCCGGAGCCGGAGCCAAGGTTTTCCAATTCCCCACGGCTCCGGCTATACACCCCTAAAGTTGGGTTAGAGAAAAAGAAGTAAGCAAAGATGGTAGGCGAGAAAAGAAAAGGAAGAGAAAATTGAGACGGGTAAAAAAGATTTTCTTTCCTCTTCTTTGTAAAGTGTTGTGGTTGAATGGATAGTGTTCCGAGTTAGGTTCCGAGTTTTATCCAGTTATAGGTTCGAAGAATATTACAAAAAATGATTAAATAATGGTTTTTCTTTGGAAAATAAATTATAATAAGCATTTTTTAAATAAATAAAGCTGGATAAATTTTTTTATTTTTTAGTCTCCTGTGAGCTAAATTTTTCAAAATTTTCGCCTGCGGCGCAAAAAAGCAAGTGATAATGAGAATGATAAATCAAATCCCCCTTAATCCAGCTTAATTCCCCGATATCGCCCTTAATTCACAAGATAATCCACCCAACTCCGCTTAATCCCCCAATGAAAAATAATTCATTGATTTCCACCCGGAGCCCGGAGCCAACATGGAGCGGCTCCGAAAATCGCCGGCTCCGGAGCCGGAGCTGGAGCCGGAGCCAAGATTTTGAAAACCCCGGAGCCGGAGCTGGAGCCGGAGCCAAGATTTTGAAAACCCCGGAGCCGGAGCTGGAGCCGGAGCCAAGAATTTCAAACCCCGGAGCCCGGAGCCGGAGCCAACAAATGGCAAATACCCAGCACTGATTAAGATTTTTAGGTAAATACATGATTTTTCTTAGATAGGCCTGATGCTTAAACATCTAAATCAGGTGTTATTTTACAAATCTGCTTTCAAACTATTTTTATTGTTGCTCAAATCTCAACACTTTTTCTGAAAAATGCCCTATTATGCCTTTTTTAACCTATTTTGCTAAAATTTATACATATTTGTGCATTTTTTGAGACTTTCTTGACAAATTTTAGTCTATTATCCCTGCATATTTTGCTTTTTTTGTGTTTTAATGCCTATTTTGGCTATTTTTAGAGCCTATATAGTCGCCTATTTTTAACTTTTTAGTGCATAAAATCCTGTTTCGACTGGACAGTCTCATTTCGTAAGGAAGTCTTACGACGGAAAGAGGAATTAAATAGAAGTCTAAAAGATAAATTCTATAAATTTATTTCCAATTAATCATATATTCACAAGCTTTTAGACTTTAGCCCTTTAATATTTATTAGTTTATTCACTTCCGTCTTTTTAAGATTTCCCATTTAAACATAGGCTTTATCTCTCTCATTTGCTTTATCTCTCTAGGCTTTATCTCTCTTTATTCTCTTTAAATTGTTTTACCTTTATTAAATAAATATTGGAAAATAATTAATTTGGATTTAATAACTTGAAAATAAGAAAAGTTAACTCAAAGAAGAAAAAATTGGTTCTTTAGAAATTAAATCTAAAATTAAATAAATTCTCAAAGGAAGAGAATTTAGTCAAAAGAAGTAAAAATTTGTTCTTTTGACAATCCTAACCCTAGAGAATTTAAATAAATTTTTAAATAATTTTCTATCAATCTACATCAACTTCTTCCAATTTAATTTCAAAATGATCATCATCTTCTTCAATCATTTTAATAAACTTTTCTTCCTCAATCTCAATTTTATGTGTTAATTTACATAATTTAATATCTTCCAAATAATTAATTTCAATATTTACAAATCTTTTTCCATTATTCTTTCTTACTATTATTTTTCTAAATTTAACAACATTCTTATCAAAATAAAATTTATTTGAGTTGAAATCAAGAAAATATTTTTCTTTTACAAAACTATGATCTTTTCCATCGAATTTATATTTTGAATTTTTTTTAAATTCTACTCCAGTCAAAATTACTGGTTTTTCGTTCAAATAAACTTCAAACATTTTGACTGAAATTAATTTATGTATGTACACTGTGTTACAAAACATTTCTGCGCCGCAGTCCGGATATCCGAGATTTCCCAAGATTCGCTAGTCTTACGTGGTAGAGAGCTGTGAGCTAAAAGCCTAGCCAATGCTGCCCGGTTTTCGATGCCTGCCTGCTTCACCTAAATAAACATTAAAATCCTTGTTTTGCAATTTATTTTCCTTTATCAGGATATCCCAGATTTCCCAAGATTCATTAATATTACACTGTAGATATTTGAGCTGAAAGCCTAGCCAATACCTGCCCGGGTTTGTGAGTATTTTTAATTCTACTCCTGTCAAAGTTACTACTTTTTCACTCAAATAAGCATCAAATACTTTGAAAGTATGTAATTTAGGTACATTTAATTAGTAATATATGGGGTAAGCTTGATGGAACTGATATCTAGATACAGTATCCAAACCTAAGTTCAGAGGATAATTGAGTTAGATTGTA